GGTCACAAGCTGGCAGAGGGTAGGTTTAGGTTAGACATCAGAAGGCACTATTTGATGGTTAGGGCGGCTAGGGTCTGGAACCAACTTCCAAGGGAGGTGGTGCAGGCTCCTACTCTGGGGGTTTTTAAGAAGAGGTTAGATGAACACCTTGCTGGGGTCGTTTAACCCCAGTACTCTTTCCTGCCATGGCAGGGGGTCGGACTAGATGATCTTCTCAGGTCCCTTCCGACCCTAGAAACTGAGACTGTGAGGAGTCTGGAGCTCCTTGCTTCTCCACCCAGCCTGGGGCTGGCTGTGAACTGTCTGTTCTACAGCAGGTCCCAGATAGCTCTGGGCTGCACAAGGAGTTCCCCATGCAGCCCCGAGCTGGCTGGGAGCCATCCTGTTCTGGGGCAGGTCCCAGTCAGCTCTGGGCTGCATGAGTTCCCTGCCCAGCCCAGGACTCTCGTGCAGCTCAGAGCTGGCTGGGACCTGCCCCAGAATGGGACAGTTCCTGGCCAGTCCCAGGCTGTGCAGAGATTCACTGCTAGGCACAGAGCTTGTCCCCATGTGCATAGGGCAGGAGAGCTCTGGAGCTGCAGCTGTTTCCCAGCCCCATGTACATCAGGACCAATGTGTATAGGGCCAAGTAACTAGGAATAATGGGTGCAAACTAGTGAAGAGTAGATTTAAGTTAGACATTAGGAAGAAACGTTTTACAGTAAGGGTGGCCAGAATCTGGAATGGGCTTCCAAGAGAGGTGGTACTATCACCTAACATGGAGGTCTTCAAGAGGAGGCTTGACCGTCACCTGGCTGGGGTCATTTGACCTCGGTCCTCTTTCCTGCCAGGGCAGGGGGTTGGACACGATGATCCATTGTGGTCCCTTCCGACTCTACAGTCTATGAATCTATAAGAGACAGCTGCATCTGGCAGAGCCCTCCTGGCCCTGTGCGCTGGGAACCAGTCCCATGCTTCCTGCCAGCCCCCAGGCTAGCTGCATGGGGGCAGAGCAGGGTGGAATCAGCCCTGCACTGGGCTGCTCCTATAGGGACAAATCTGCTCCCAAGAGGGAGCGTATGTAGACATGCTCCTGGGTAGGCTTACTACACAGTATTTTTACTGCACAGTAAGCCTACTTTGAATTAATAGCAAATGTAGACATGCCCTAGGTTTCTTGTAATTAGGACTAAGACTAGCATGATGCTTCTGCATATTAGTTTAAAACATTACCATCACTGAAAGTCTGGAGTTACTTTTTTGAATGAGCTTGCATCACCTTTGAGAACAAAACAGGAACTTCTACAATATAACATACACATTAGGTTTCCTGTACACTGGTACAGGTACTTCTGGAATACACAATCTTCTCCATCACAGGGAATAAGCTTTTCACATCAATTTTAAAATATTCCTACGTGGCTTGAAAAGAGTGTGACACATACAGTCCTATGGGAAAAATGGTCAGCAGAGTAAGCTTGTGAATCCACTGCTATGACAGCATTGTGCAGAAAATCTCCCTAATGCTGCTGCTGGAACTTTACAACATTTACACAGGAGATAAATGAACTAGTATGAATAAAAAAAGCTTCTTGCTTGATAAATTCAGGCAGTATGTTATGCTATTTTTAAGATGATTCAAACATTGGATTTAATTGGCTTCTTTAAAAGTGAGGAAAGCAGGAAGAGTAAATGTAAATAGCTTGAAAACTGTAATTGTGGGAAGAAGAACAAGATCTCAAAGGAAAGCTGTACTAACTTGCCATCTGGATTAATAAATCTGAGGTCCTTCCCTTTAAGCACTGTACAATACTATTTGTCTTCAGAAAATCTGCACGTACACTTAAGTCATATATTTTATTTATATGTGGCATTAACTGAAATATGATAATACTTACAAGAAACTAATAAGCACACTTATTAGTTTTGTGAACCCTAAAATACCATTTTATTGGTGTTTTGCATTCATTTCAGGTTAATGGATTAACTATAGACAGAATTTGACAAGCAAGAGTGCCATTAATAGGAGAACCCCCTGCCTAGGTTTAGAACTGGTACAAGGCACTAGACAATAATCCCTTGTGCTTCATATTCTTCCCTGCTTCCAGGCCTCTTTGCAGTCATTAAAATATATAACAGGTCTGTTGTGAATATAGGAGTACTCTCACTGGAAGTCTACCACCTACTTGTCATTATAGATACTACAAAGTGTTATTTGGAATGAAAATAATCTTGGGATCTGGTTGCCCAGAAAGGTTTCCCATCACAGTGTACGACCACACAGAAAGAACAACTGAATGAAAATAGTGCTCTAATGATGAGGCTGTGACTTGAGGAAGCTCATTCAGATTTGCATATCTTGCACAAAATAACTCCTGTACGACATGGGGAGAATAGTATCTTCTAGAGAGCTTGGAGGTATATAAAGGAAAGAGCAACACACCTTCACTCCCTACAGCAGAGCCCCCATAGCCTTACTGGTCAAGAGCAGTCAGCTTTATATCCAGGGAGCCAAACCAACAAAATGACTGCGTGGCAGTTGGCTAATGATGACCGATGGACTTACAGGTTTCTGGCCAATTCACAGGCTGAAGTGGGGGGTGAGGGAATACAGTTGGGAACAGGCAGAAGAGGTACTTAAGATCCTGCTGGATGTGGAACTCACTTTGTAGGACCATGCATATATTAGTTCACTGTTGAGCTAAATGTTTGGATACAGTGAAATTGCTAGCAAAATATAAACTCTGGCAGGAAGTAGAATTAGTATAGTGCATGTTGGAATTCCTATCTCAGAAGCTAGGATATGGAGCAGTTCTTTTGTTGGCACGTGTTTTTTTGCTTCTTATATTGGAGTGTGTATATATCTGTACTGCCAGTTGCCATTTATAAGACCATAGGGGATTGTCCAGTCAGGGATGAGTATCAGTAGTACCATTGGTTCCTGCCCATGGTAGTCAGTGCTCCAACTCTGAGTAAAAGGCAATGTACCTACAGTAGTGAATCTCTACCAGGGTGCTGTAGCAACCTGGGTTGCCTTGAGATCCTTTCAAGGGTGTCATGGGGTGCTGCATAATGTTAGCACTGTTAGGTGTACAAACATGAATTCATGGGACAAAACTAGAAATTTCAAACAGGACTCCATAGTGTTAAAAACATTGTAACCTGCTGCAGTCTGAGTTCTTTGCAACAGAAGAATTGCTCTATTGCTTTACTGTAGTGAAAAAAAAAGAGTAAAAACTAAGAGCTGGCATTTTCTGAGGGG